TCCATCCAGGAATCATCGTTGACCATCTCGCTTCACCTATAACAGTTTTTCGAACAATAATAACGTCGATGGAAACCACCCGGTGTGAAACTGCCCTGGGAATCACTAGGTAATTATTTTAAATTAAATCACGCGTCTTCTAAACGTATCTATTTTACAAAATTGAACCTTTGGACCGCCGGTTCGGGTCGTTCCAGTCTATTATAGTAATCCGACTAATATTAATTTGTATTAACACGTCACGGAGAGTTAAAGTTATAACCATTTAAACATTAGCAATTATGAGTGGAAACTTGGATTTATAGCGCTTTTCAGGATATTTAAGGTCGACCTAACTCGCTAGCCTTCTATGAAAAAAATAACGAAAAACATAATTAATGATCTCGCAATACAAACGAATAGTTGGATTATTTTCCATAAAAGTATTTCTTTATTCCCTTCAAGTAATAATATTGTTATTTCTGCATTTGGTACAAAAATGATCATTTTATCAGAAAATTTGAATATATCGACAAAAAGTCTTAAGTGTTTTATTGATTTAAATTATAACTTTTTCAATGGATGAAAATATCAAGTCAGAACGTCTCGTATTCAAAGACTGGGACAATTTATGAAGCATAAACATTCTTTAGGAAAACATGCCATTCCTATAGGTAATCTTCCGTCAACGAAGTCAAACGAGACATTGTTTTGCATTCTTGTTATTTATTTTTTTAAATCGTTCTACCTTCAGAAATTCATTGTGTTCATTATGTTATTTAGCTGAAATAAAAAGAGAGATAACCACATCAAACTTTCGTACTTTTCGCTTTATAACTTGCCAGGCGTTAGGCTTTCAAAGTTCAAAAAACTGCGGCCCGTAAACAGGTCCCACGCCCGGATTTATATAACGCTTGATAGGCCGTCAATCGGTTCAAAACGGGTTTTGCACTTGAATTTCAATCAGATGAGCTTTCATGACCCGAGCAAGTCGACCATTAGCTACTGCCTACTACCGCACTGGAAAATTGCCCAGAATGATAAAACCGCTGGAGACTAGAGTCTACAAAAGGAAGTATTGTTTCCGGTTACTCAATTGGTAACACGACTAAAAATCTATGTTACGACTAAGGATTTATGAGTGTGTTTATAAGGTTGACTTCCATGAACGGGATAGTTACACTAACCAGTCGGTAAATATTTACAACGGCAAGTTGATTTCGATCATTAATCCAATGATGTCGTTCAATTAAAATTTAAAAAACATTATTATGTCATTAATCCAGATTCAATAAATAGTTTAAAACATTACAACTTACTACGTACGTAGGCTCTCCGATTTTAAAGTTTGGCGGTACTAGTGGAAAATTTTAGCTTCGACAAATTTCCACACTTTTCCACCTACTTAATATTTGATCTTGCCGATGAGTCCGAGGAGATGAGACAAAATATTCTTTTGTTTTTATGTTTATTGTTTTCTACCTTGGTTGTGCATATGTTTTAGGGGTTTTGTCATCAATTTATTTGTCGTATTACGTACGTAGTAAGCGAAAATGATATGCAGGATCTAAAAAAACATCCTGTTCTTTGCTGGATGTAATAATCTTAATTTATTTAGGACCCAGAAAAGAAATGAACCTCATTTTTCCCTAATTTACTACAACAAAAATTTTTAACTATACTTTTTTAAAATTATTTAAGGTTTTTAGTTGAGATAAAAAAAGTCAGTGTCGCGAGCGGGATTCGAACCCACGACCTTCGGCTAGATACGCCGCTACTCTACCACTTGAGCTATCGTGACTTCGATACACTCGGTCACTAACTTCCCATCTCAACCCCACCTTTTGAATTTTTCCTCCTTTTTGTTATTTTTCATTTTTGTCATTTTTGTCGCCGAGACTCAAATAGATTACACGACATTTGAAAAATGGCAAAAAGGAGGGGAAATTAGAGTCAGGTAGAGTAGCGGCGTATCTAGCCGAAGGTCGTGGGTTCTAATCCCGCTCGTGACACTGACTTTTTTTATCTCAACTAGAAACCTTAATTAATTGAAAGATATTAATTTGCCAAGCGGACCACGAAAACTAGTGCATTGTTTTAAATATTTTATTACAGTCTGCAATTCTTGGTTTTAATATGTAATTTGATGAATATATGTATATTTACATTGTGCTAATTAATGTTGTTCTCCCACTTCACTTTGCTGAATAAATTTCACTGCTACGCCAGGTCGCCGGGCCATTTCCCCTTGAGACACCTTATGGGATGGTCGGGATGGATTTTGTTTGAGAAGGCTTGGGCGAGCCTGTTGGGGTGATGGGATTGGTAAATTTTTGAGGAATTATGTTTTGGATAAATGGGATTTTAAGATCGTTAGGGATGGCACTATTTGAGCCATAATATGGAGCATTTTTAATTGATCTGAGGACTTTAGACTGAAGTCTAATCTGAAAGGATTTGAGACGTTCTATATTGGAAGGCTTAGCGGTATCCCAAAATTTTATATCGTATGTCCAAATCGGTTGTATTAGCGTTTTGTAAATTGTAAGTTTGTTATCGATAGCTTGGATTGTTATTCTATAAGTTTGTAGAGTAAACCGTAGCGTCTGTTTATGTCTTGTCTTTTCAGCTATAAGCTGATTCTACGTTAAGCGTAAGTTCAGGTGAAACCCAAGGTAAAAAAAGCAGTCTGATTTTGGGATAGGAACGTTGTTGAAGTGTATTGTGAGAGGAGATATGTCCACACAAACTGTTATTTATGTGATATGTCCCTGTAGATCTTCTGAAGCAACCCCAGCGTCGGGGTTAGAGGATACAGCTGTGTCGGCAAAAGATGCAAGGAGCGTGGTAGGTTTAGTGGGAACCTGTGCAGTGTAAAGGATATAGAGAATTGGTCCGAACAAACTGCCCTGGGGTACTCCTGCGGTGTGACCTCGTCCTTGTCGGACCCAAAAGAACGCTACGTTAGATAATAGCGGAAGATGAAATAGAGAGTATTTTGTACAAACACACGATTTAATTTGTACAAAGGCCCCTTGTGCTACATCAAGAAAGGCTACCATACAATACATTCTTTGCGCTCGAGGGAGGAGGATATGCGGTATAAGCAAAACTGACGATCGGGGAATAGGTTGGAGTTTGATTTTGGCAACAGTCTTTTGAGGAAATTTTTTTTCAATACTTTGGACATGATAGGAAGTAAGCTAATTACTTCCGAAGTCTGATGAAGCAATGTGACCTTTCCCAGGTATCATGAAAAGGCTGATGTTCGAATATTTCCAAAATAACGGAAAATGGGTTAGTACGGAATATACAATTGAAGAGGTATGTGAAGTATAAATAGCTCTTTAAGGGAGCTGTTAGAGAATTTGGGAAATAATTAGGACAAAACCTTATTTAGCTTTGTGTTTCGATAAGCGAGACAGGATGTATTTGACCACAGCGGGAATTTTTGGAAGGAGAGACATATGGAGAGGAGATGTAAGGTATTCATCAATATCTGAAGCGATTGAAACATTGACAGACACTGAAAGAGTTTAACTATAGGGGGCAACTTATTAAATGAATGGTGGTCAGAAGGATGACTTAATCTTCGCCACGCGGTTCGTGATTTTAGGTGCAGTAAATGATTGTAGGTAGGGGTTTGAAAAATGTGGGGGTTTTGAGGGGACTATCGAGTTGTGTCATCCTGACCGCCTGCTGGATAAAGGTGGTAAAGAGATTCACATCCTCTTCCCGCTTTTCTTGCGGTTTTAAGAAAATGCTCAGGTCTATGGACAATTTCTATTTGGGTACAAAAGACGTTCCTTATAGGGGCATTGATTCGGAGAGATCGGGAATTTGGTTTGGGAATTGGAATGAGGGATATGGTTGGGGAGAATGGGACTACGGTCGGAAGAGAGATTGTAGAGGGTTAATATGGAACTGTGGAGAGGTAAGAGAATTTGGATGATGAAGAAGGTCAGGGTGATGGTTAATATCAGTCGGCCAATATAGAGAAATATCGGGGAGACAGCATGTGGAGAATTAATAGCTGAGGGCAAAGAGCTCTATTGTACTCACTCTACGCACTTTATCGCCGCCAGAGAGCAGTCTTGCCCAAGAGATCCAAAGAACTCCTGAAATTGGAAGGGTGTTATTGTTTTATTGGGTGGGCAGTGTACTGAGGCGATGAGAATAGACGCGGAATGAAAGGATACCGGGATGGTGTAGTTTAAAGGAAATTAGTGGCATTTGTGGGAATGGCATGGTATGATAGGGTGTTTTGGAATATGACTGCAGTACCTCCATGGGCTCTGCCGTCAGGGTGGTCATTTCAGTACGTTTTTTATCCTGATACGTGTAAGTGTGTTGGTGTTTCGTCAGTTGAGTTTCGGTTATTATTGCAATCTGCACATTTTGGTCATGTAGTAGTATCGTCAGTTCGTGAGTATGTGAACGCCTCATTCATATGAGGTATCACATTGACTATGAATCAGTTTCCGAAAAGAGATAGTGATCGTGATGATGGTCTGAACATGCAGACATTCTGTCCGATCACCTAATAACTCCAAGTCCACTCACTCGCTCGGTATCGCCAAGTCCCATGTCCATATCCTTCGTAAATGCGGGAGAATCCTCTCAGGTACAATGGCCCACCCTCTGGGCACTTTTACGCCGATCTGGCGCAAACTGAGTCTATAAAACAAGACTAACGATCTATGAAAAGCTACTTCTCAGTACAATGACTTAACTAAAAGGGACATGAGAAACGTCAAAAATATGTACCTTCAAAAGATGATTAAATTTACTCATTTATATTTTATTCTCAAAATTTTATTCAATGGATGACCAAACTATATCAATTGAACCAAACTTAGTTTATTAAATCATTAAAACATAAATTTACAATTAATATTTTCATAATTGCTTAAAATTTGTATGTTGATTGCACTGTAGCGCTCACCTGTTTTAAGTTTTACAAAAACTTCTTTTTTCATATGATATCAACCTATGATTTGGTTATTTAAAAAACATACACATTTAACACGCAATTGATCACTTTGTATTATTATTGGCTATTGATGATATAAATTTTTATTGATTTTTTTATGTTTTAATACGAGACGGACTAAAAGAATTATCGTTTGTTTCCCGGAGACATAATCGGGGGTATATCAGGCGGCTTGGAGTACAGATTTTTGCCGACGTTTTTATTTCGCAAGTAGTGGTCGTAGCGATAACCGAAGTTAAATCTGTTCTGGATTTTTTCTTGTTGGATGTACGTTGTGCAAAATCGATTCAAGTTGGCCCTGTTTCTGTGCCTCTCTTCATGTGTCCTGCTCCTATCCAGGCAGGTGCATTTCATGTAGCGGGATAAATCTTTTTCAGGGGGCGTATCCGGCCAGAAGGAACTGTTTGGCCCTTGAGACATCATCCTGGAACTGGAGCTTTGTTGGCTTTCAAACTGTTTGAACTTTCGTTTTGGCTCCGAGTAAGAAGGATGGCCGTAAATGTACCTCGGGAGATTTTCATGTGCACCGTCTGCGCACATAATGGCGTTGACGATTTCTTCGATCTCTTTCTTGGTTGAAGTATCATTCTTTTTGACGTCCTTCGGTACGTTCTGCCTGAACTTGACCATCTTCGACTTGAGATCGACGAGCTGATCCTGCAGCGGTTTCAACGCCACCGCGACACCTTTCAAGACTTGAGAGACTGACGTGATGTTCCTTTCGTTTTTCAACCGTTTCCTGTCCGAGATTTCGTGAGGGCTGAGACCGAAATTAGCCCCGTGCCCTCGGGCCTCATTTGTCCCCAGCAAGTTGATCTGAGAGTATTCGCTGCTCACAATGGAACAAAAAGAGCGAGACATTTTCTTCGATTTCTTCATAGTCGACATTTTCCTCCTTTTCGCGTCTTTGAGCTTTAACAAATAATTCGACGACTGCTCAGCGCCAGTCTTAAAATAATTCGTGTGTATTTTGGTCACTGAGTCGGTTTTGCGATTTGTACATCCGTTGGCTTTCTCCGGCATTTTCTCTCTAGAATGAAAAAGTACTTTGGTACTTCTGTTCTTGAGTTTCTTCTTTTTGATCTCTTTAGGTTCTTCCTTCTTCACGGGTTGCACGGATACCTCATCGGCGACGATTGTCGCATCCGACCCGCGGCAAGGCGAACCCAGATGGGATAGAGCACTTTTGTACGAATCACTGTCGTCGTCTTCGTCCTGTTCCATGGATGTTGGGAAACATATTTCGTATAAATCTTCGCACTGAGAAGACAATGATTTAGAAAAACCAGAATCTTTTGTATCCAAAACGAACTTCTTGAAAGAAAGCGTTTCTTTATCCCTTTTGATCTTAATATGACTCGTATTTACAGCCACGTCGGTGTTGCACAGACCCTCGTCCTTTTCTACTAGGAATTTCACCAGAGACCGATACTTCCGGTTTTCTAACTCCTCCGCTCCCACGACAACGTAGATCCCCTTTTCCAGCTCGTCTTTTGAAAAGTTTATGATTCGGTTCTCATCCAACGGGTTGGTCACGTTCACAACGACCTTGTTTTCGCTGTGCTGCCTGAACTTGATGGTCACCGGGTTCGGAACCCTACCGAGCGGTAGAGATCTCCCATCACCGGCGCTACTTCTGTTAATGTTCTGTATGCTCCCTGCATACAGACCTTTCGAAATCAGTTTTGCGTACATTGGCAAAACGAAGCCGTGATAAATTTTTCTCTTCGTCCGGAAACATCTCACCTTACGGAGGAGGGTCAACCTTGAAGAACGCAAGATAAAATTCTCCCGGGCAAGTTCCTTCAGCCTTTGATTTTTCACCTGAAAATTTAATAAGTTTAAGTTTTAAGTTTTAAGTTTTTTAAGTTAAATAAAGCTTAAACTTTTTTCCTAGTAAATAAATGTTTAGAATTTATATTGTATTTTTAATGCTCGGTCAAATCTAGCTTTTTATTTGTTTCACTGATTCATCACTTTTTGATTTACCTAATTTGATTGTGCGATAGTGTGGATCTGTATGTAATTTGTGAAAAAAACATTCTCACAATTGTAACCTGTTATAATTTTTTAATCTAAAATTATTATTTTTTACTACGAAAAGAGCTTACGGTATTTATCGTAGTCGGCTTGCCAAACCTTCTGTACTTCTGCAACATGTTGTAATCTTGTTAAAGATGTCAACTCAAGAATCAACATCTACTGAATTGCCCTTTAGTCGTTTTTGTATCCCTTCCTAAAAGTACATTTATAGTTAAAATAGGAGAAGACGTGAGTATTGAAAAGGATGACATGACGATTCGCAATATTTGGTATGTCAATGGACATGTCTCAGCTTTCATTGTCGAATCAAATGTTTGTTTTTATGCGTATAAATCAATTATAGTACGTCGAAGTGGATTTTGTGTGCAATTCATTTTAATGGTAACCTGATAAATCCCAATAACGAGGGTACTAAAATTTTAAATGGTCATGTTTTTATATATCGAACCACGTTTAATTTTAGCAATAGAAACACCTAGATTTGATCAATTTAGAGTTTTCAGCTGACATGGATTCATCATGTGTGATCAAAACAGTGTAAATTGTCAAAATTGAGCATCCACCTTCGACGTCCAGGTCGCTGTAAAAAGTCAACCTCGAGGAGTGGCGAACCGACGCCTCGGTCTCGTTCAGCTAACAGGATCTCTTTCGATTCCGGGCTCTTCGTCGTCCTCGAATGGCTCAGCTTTCAGACGGCGACCGTCATCCTGATACTTGCAGCAAAGAAGGTAACCTGAAAAATAAATATGTTTTAAAATTCGACGCCGATTTAAAGGTGGAGCAAGTCTAAACCATCTGAACCTTGATTCATAAAACCGTCAAAACCTGAAAATGGGGACGTCTCTGAAACATATCAGGAAAATTTGGAAAACAATTTTGGTGCATTTCTCAAACGATAAAACAAAATAACAGGCGATTTTCCGCGGTTTAATGTAATGGACGAAGCGTCATTGCGCCGAAAAGTATGAATGAAATATATACATTTCCTGAACATGTGTTTATCTTTTTATATGTTATACAAACAATACAGATAAGTTCATCTGAAGTATAATTTCACAAATGAATACTCACATTTAGACAATAATCGTGAATGTTCAAGTGAAATATTGTCTATATACGGGTAGTATTAATCCTTCTATGTTTAGTAATCATAATTGACTGTATTAATTATTTTAATTAATCATACTTTTTTATCTCTGGTCTTGATTGAGATGAAAAAGTTAGTGTCACGACGGCTGGGTTCGAATTCTGATTGTAACACTTTTTCATCTCAACCAAGACCTTAGAGAAAAAAATTAATTAAAGTAGTATTAACTAAATTTTAGGTATGTATCATCCACCAATTTTGAAAACAAACTCAAATATCCATCGCTAAAAATGGCTACCAGTTTAGCACAGATATAGTTCTGACTGAACTGCTGATTCATAGAACGATTGTTTTGAGAGTTGGTTTAGGGTACGCCAGAAATGATCGAAAACGATCATATCTCAGATTATATCACACTACAGGTCTCGAGAAAAAATATCCCTAGTCAGTTTTTGTTCGAAGGTGCTGGTAGTTCTGTAACAATATCTCACTTTTATAAGTCCTTGATATGACCTGATATTGAATGGATTTGATTGATATTTATTGACATGAACAAGTATCCTTAATTATGGCATGAATTGACAGCAGACCTTAGGAGTTCAGTCGTTATACCATCAGGTGGTTGCTTAGCCAACTGCTAGAGGAGGAAGGTACAGTTGTGCAGGAAACTATTGGAGGGAGGCTGGGCCAGGATTGGGAAGTATGGTATGTTTATATTTTAATATTTCATGGCCGGAGACATACTTTGTCCAAAACAACGATGGAAACCGCACTCGATCTTCCAATATGTTTGGAAGTTATGAACGAATATGTGGCTTTCGAGAGAGCCAATAAACTTCTGAGGTACAAGGTAATAAAGCCTGATCTAAGGAAAAGCCATCATAAACGTTTGGAGAGATTTAAAATAATTGAGATGGCTATAACGATTCGTAATAAAATGATATGAAACCTCAACGCTGACTAGACTACCCTTTCAAGTGCTTTGGAATAGACAGCGCCAAGTTTCAGGATGGGGCCTTAATATGGATCATGAATGAATCAAAGTTGAACCAGGAAGTAGGTGTAGAGGTAAAACGGACGGAATTATAAACTGCAAAACCCCTTGGACTAATCGCAACAATCTATCAAGCTGAAGTTCATTCAATCACTCAGTGAACAGGAATTGTTAAAGAAAAACATGAAAATTACAGATTTACATACCTTTCAGACAGTCAGGCAGGTATAAAGGTATTAAATTCCTATGCTTTTAGCTCCAAACTAGTATTGGATTGGCGTAATGGTTGTAGATATAGATGTAGATGTAATAGTCGGGGTGTAATATACTGCGCCCTTTAAGAGCTATTGTATCCCCCGTTCTCTACCTACAGCACATCAGTGAGTCCTATTTCATCAAGAAACTTGATTAGTAGGCCCGGTTTCAGTGGTTGAATTTCTTCTAGAATTTCTTGAAAATTGCGATGAAGATAATAGTCAAATTCAAAGGGTAATGGCCTTATCTAAATGCAATTCTGAAAATTATAAAATATATTTTAAAATGAGAGTGGCTGAGATCCATAAATATCATATTTTCTGGTCAGGACAATCATCCGACGTGCTGCACTCAGAAGATCCTTGGGGGTTCTGCTGCCATTATACAGACGGTAACATTTGTTTATCAATTTTCACAAATTTTTCTGACGCCCTATTCATTTGTACTTTAAAAAAAATCATCGTTTCGATCTCAACCGCAATTGGTTTTGGGGCGATCTGAGGCTTTAGAAACAACCTAGATATTCTGTTCACGAGGGTATTTCAACTACGAGGTTGTATGAACCCTCGGGGTGCCGATGTTTTAGAAAAAAAGCCCATTTGTAAGTATCCCGGATTCGAACAGCAGGGCGGCTGGATTCGAACCCGGGACCTTACAGTGACGAGGGCCGTGTTAATGCCTAAACCTTCCCCTAGATAATCTTTATTTCAGTAAAACACACGTTACATAAGTTACGTTTTAAATTTATAATCAGTATTATTTACTGACATTTTATTAAAAAAATATTTAAAAAATTGAATTCATCGTAATAATTTTTGTTTATTAGTTAATTACTCTTTTATTTGAAAACATAAATTACTATATTGTTTTGCTAAGTGGTACATTCATAAATACATTATCCTTACTTACAACAGCGTGCCTTTGGGATATGAAGTTAGAACAGGTTTTTCGTTCAGCCGTCATTATTCGTTTCACTTTTCCAAACCCGTGTAAGATGCGATTCTTCGAGGATAGTACCAGACTTATTTCGTTTGATAGTTGATAAGAGCTTTTTTGGGGAAAGGGTGCGGCTAAGATCGACTGATGAAACAAAACTCGTTTTCCATTTGGCCGATATCGTTGAGCTAAAATCTCGTGAATACGATGAAAATCTCT